AATAACTGGTACACGGTTGTGTACTCGATCTACTGCTCGCACATTCGTTCTATTACAGCCGGCAGCAAACGTCGGCAAAACGGAAAATTATTTAATTTTTGCAATCGTCAAATTATAGAAAACCATTTTCCAAGAATAAGTTTATGTTTAAGTAAACATTCTAAAATGTCATGATGTTTTTCAATGTCAATCAATAATATATTTACTTGCCGGAATAATGTACAGTAGGTTCTCATTGATGGCATGCAAATATGTCTAACAATTACTTATTGCCGAATAGTGAGTGCATTATCAAATCGAATAAAGAATAAAATTAATTAAGGATGAATATTATGAACAAAGAAATGTTCTATAATTAAACGTCTAAAAATTCTGTCGCGAAGCAAAAAGTACAATTTATTGAATACTGTGTAATACTTTTTTTAGGTATAGTTTGTGCCATTTAGCATGTCAATAGCAGTCATTGACCAGACTTTCATTCCGAAGTCACAAATCGACAGCGACTGATCACCGATCCCCAGTAACAATATATTTTAGAAGTTAATTAAATCATTATATTATCGTTTATTCTATACATGTTTAATGAAAATAAACATTATATGCATTACGTTACGACAGCAAACCATTTCAAATTAAAACTAATATTTAAAAATCAATGCCTGACAACTATAATTGAGTTCATTTCACTCCGTAATTTAAAAAGGGATAATATTATTTAATCCTCAAAGAAATAATTTATCTATTGTAAATGTGCACTTTTTTATGATATATACATATATATTAATTGCTCCATCTATATTAGTTGATCAATAAATGAACTTCATTGAAGGTATCGCGATTATTACTTTAAGCATACAAAATTAATATTTGGTATTCAAAAATAATTTGATGCCTTTTTATCATCACTCTTTTCTTTTAACGATTGATGTCATTAACCAGTATATTTTTCGATATTGATCTAATAAATCTTGATTTCTTGGTTGTACCCTCCATTCAGTAGGTTAGCATATGCAAAAGTAGCAGGAGTCGAGCGAGCGTACCGCGGAATCGGCCGGCGAGATACAGAATTTGCTTTCGTTACCGAACATGTTTTCAGGTCTAATATATTATAATTAATATAATATTAGTATACAAATATATAATCAATAATTACTTAGTTTTAAAACTAAGTATCTAAATTTTATTTGTAATGCTCATTTGTCTTAGTTTTGAGGCCCAATTTATACAAATCAAACACTTTATGCGATTTAATTTATTTTATGTCTCAGAGAAAGAGGATCAATAATTAAAACAGATGATCGTTTAGATTTTCTTGCCCGCTGCTTTTGCAAATATAAAATGATTATTGAAATACATGCCGTTTAAAAAATAGAAAATGTTTGGTACATTTTGTATTTTCATTTAACAGCCATAATAAAAAATCACTTAAATCCGTTTCTTTTCATCTACTTTACACGCTTCTGGCCTGTCAGCCATTTTGTTTTACACCTATCAAACACTTTACGTCGGAATACGCTTGCATTTTTCGGAAATACTAACGTTGCAATTTTGGTGTTGATGATTTTTATTAATTTATTTTGTTATATAAACGATAAACATCACTTTTAGATTTGGCGAAAAGGATTGAAATGTCAAAATGACGGTTCTGCTTAGTATTTCGTTTAAATTATTATTAACTATATACATAATTCTTTGAGAAAATAACGTTTCATTACTATCAAAGTATTTAATAGTTTACAGTTCCCGAAGTCAGATGACTTGTACAGATGTACGTCAAGGTGACTTATTACCAAAGTACACTGACAATAACACTTTCGCACGTTACTGGGGACATTGAAGTGTTATCGTTCACAAATATCGTATACAGTGGTATGAAGGGGTGAATGATCGCTATTGACGTGCTAAATGACATCAATATTTAAATTTTCGGTAGAATACAAATAAATGTTCAGTCGTCTGCGAAAAACATTGGACATGTAATTGACCTTGGCAGAGTCACTTCCAGGTTAGTTTTCTCTACCTAACTTCGGTGGCAATTTTTATTATTTAAACATTCCAGAATGTAATCATGAAATATTATTTAATATTCGAGAGTAGTATCCTGAAATATTATTTAATATTTCACGATAATGTACTCGAATACTTAAATAATAAAAATTGCCACGAAATTACGTAGAAAAAGGTAACCTAGAAATTATCCATACATATTAAGAACAGAAATTGTATTTTGAAGCTATTATTATTCCCAATATACAGGGTGATTTTGAAATCATTAGCATCCGTCGAACCTATTATTATCTACTCAAGAAATATTTTAGAGTAATTTAAATTATCAATAGCGTATAACTATTATTTTTTTTTAAATCGTACCAAAATAAACAAAGTATGAAAACGGGTAGCGCACTAAGCGCAAAGAAGCCGGAAGTCCTTTGGCGGCAAAATAATCAATCAAAACATTCAAAAATCAATCAATCAAAAAGTGTATCGATTTCGAAAAGCGTCACGGTCGTGTCACGTGTGGTTAATACCGCATCGACACCATCAATGTTCGTTATGACTAAATAATCCGATTAAAGTAAATGTGGCTTTATCAGTCCCAAAATATTAGTATTGACATTTTGCAATAAGGAATTCAAAATAGTACTCGGAACGCGTAATCAGCCAATGCCAGTACTTGAACTGTTTGGAAGTGGTACAGGTGCTGGCCAGAACAGTTTAGTAGTTTCCAAACGTAATACTGACTAACCTCAAAATATCGCATAGCTATCCGGGTACTATCTTGGATCAGTCGGTGTTCTCCCCCGAGTTTGTTCATGTGCTGACACGTGAAAAAACCCAAAATCGGAGGAGGAGGAGGAGGTTCTGCATACTTCCTAAGATGTGATTCCGTGATGGAGCCGGCGCGTCCGGGTGCATAAACATTTCACGTGTTAGGACTAAATTTTCATTGAGAACGTACAGTAAAACCATTTGTAATAAAATAACTGTAGGTTCGTGTTACGGCCTTGCAAAGAGGCATTGCGATCACAATTTATCACTACACTAAACTGCAATGATAGACAGTGAAGAAGAGTGACAAAGATATTTGGCAACGGTGCACTTGCAATGCACGTGTTCATTGCAAAGTTGGAGATCGTTAATACGTTAGACCTTAATTTGTATTGACGATGGTCGCGGGTGTTTGGTACTTGTATATTTTATGGAGTTTATTTTTTTTTATGATTATTTCATGATTTTTTTGCAGTAATAGTCTATCGCATGGTATGTGTGTAAAGTTTTTCTGGTTTTCATAAGTTATAATATTGCTTCTTTTGGATTTGTGAAATTGTTATCCTAATGTAATTGGTATCATGAGTAATCTTATTTCAAAAGATGCTAATGATTTCGATTTCACCCTGTACATGTTTTTAACTGGTCAATATGGGGAAATCCGAAACTATAAGAGATACAGGGATTTTTTTTGTGAAAACAACATTGGCATAGTAACTTTGTTCGGTTAAGTGTGAATTGTCAATAAAAATTAATAAAATTGATCAATTTTTTTTTTGCTTACACAATTATAATTATTTTTTAGTGCATAAAGTTGTACGGGTGAATTGCATTCCTTGAGATGGATGACTTGAAACCCGTCACGAACGATCGTCGAAGAAGTTTAAACAGATTGGATTGTACAATAACAGGCGAAATAGATGATCTAGGTGAAATAGCGAAATATTTATAGTCAAACTTTCTTAAAAATGCAAAAAAGGTGTCAAAAATTATTTTATATAACTGCTTCCGCGGCCGGCCGGTTACCATACTGGACTGCCACGCCAAGGTCCCGGGTTCGATCCCCGGTCCGAAAGAAAAATTTGTATGGCCAATATTTATTTCTCTTGTGAGTTTGGGTATACTTTATGGTTGTCTATGTGTGTGTCTATGGCACCCGCGATACAGGGTGTGTATTACGAGGCTATAAGCCTAATAGTTTAAAAAGCAAATAATGATGCGTGTGTTTTTTGTATAACAATCCTACCCTTAACAAAAACCCAGCGTGTTAATTTTGCATGGGACATTCGTATTGCCTGAGTCTAATAACCTAGAAAAAGATATTAGAATATTTGTCAAAATAATCCCTAAAATCTAGTAAAACAAGAGTTAAAGTTTCTTATAGAGAAATGTATTCCCTGGGTCTATGCACCCAAAACTAGGAGTGAATACTGTACAAAACAAGTAAACAAACACTTGTATCTAAATTTTTTAACTTCTCCTAAAAAGGGAGAGAAATCGTTCGTGTTTCCCTGCAAAAATCGTTCTCCTAAAGTCTATTATACGCGGTAAGTGAATATTTTGCATCCCTCATGCTCATTAAACGAACGAAGTGGATTGGTTTCCATGCATTCTGTGTACATAAATAATGTCGGTTATTTACCTAACCCAGATGAAGTACCAGTAAATTATAAAATTCATTGGCATGGCCGCCTAAAAGTTTCGAGTTGGAGACGTTTTTTATTTTAATTTAGTTTTCAAGTCTCTCACAGATGTAGATGCTCAAATGGAAAAGCAGTCATACTCCATTTGTAATCCTCTACGCGCAATTGCAGTCAAGGACACCCGAAAAGGACTGAATACTACTAAGATCTGCTACAGACGAGGGACAAAGTAAAGTCGATTAACATCGACAACATTCGACCGTTGTTAAAAAACAGCTAGAACCGGAATTACACCGCTGTCATGAACTGTCGCTGACGACTGCAGTCCATCACACAAGGTCGCTCGTCTGTAAACATGGCAGGCTATTACGTTGTGCGGTCCAAGGTTTAAATAAAAGTATTAACACAGAATGAATACAAACAATTTGGAACCTTTTAAAATTGCTATCTTTAAACAACCTCGAAGGCCGATCACGTCTACATATATATAACTTGTATTTTGCTTTATCTATAAACCATCAATCTTACAAATTGCCTATGTGTAACTCAAAGTCCTGAGTCAGTTTTAAAACATTTCCATCAACATTACAGAATTCGAAATTAACATATTCCTAAATCTAAGTGAAGAATAGTCTCATATACTACATAAACATTTAATAATAAAAAAATACGCAGTAAAACGTTACTACATGGAAACAGTCTTAATCTAAAACAATTTTAAAAAACAAAGGTAAGCTAAAATTTCAAACTTGATCCAAATACAACAAGCATCGCTTATAATTGGAAACTGAGACAATTTTTTTATACACAATACGTTATTAGCTAAGCTTATACATAATTAGATAGTTACACCATAAAGGATGCGTACGGGTGGTAAAATGTTAGAGACTATTTATTGTACAGAAATAATTTGTAAAAGTCAAATACATAATCTTCATTTCATAGGTAAGCAAATTACACTTGAAATCGTCATATTGATTAAAATCTACTACTCATTCGTAAGGCAGATTCCCCTGAGAACAATGAGCAAGAAACTCTAGGTGTTGATCTTTGTAAATAACCATTTGTACACATTTCTTTCAAACATCCTAGATTTTTGTCATACGGATACGCAGAAGCTGTGCAATATAAGGGAATATCGGTTAATTTAACCGTTACGTTATTTTTGTAAGCTTTAAATCCACCATTATTTATTGGAACACATGCGATATCCTTTTTTGGCATTTTATCGACAGTTAAAGTATTGAAAGTGGCCAATTGACCGCAGTGATCTGACGATAAGTTATTAACATAGATTTTGTACTAGCGTTGGTATAAACGTTGTCTAAAGAAACGGTTGTCGTAGAAAGATTATTATAACATTGGAAAAATGATATGAGCGTACTACTTAAGGCTACAGTACACTAATAAATTAACATTGAAGTCACCACAAATATATTAATTTGGGTTGTTTAATTTAAAACGTCGTCTAATCTTTTTTCAAAGAAGTCCTAAGATGAACATAGGGATCTGTACACCCTTAATAAAATTATGCGTTCAAGTTCTATGCAGGATATCTCTATAGTTCGCTCAACAGGCAGAGTCACAATACCTGTACGTTCTTTAAATATTCAATTATTTTTAATAAGCATAAAGACCCGCCATGAGTCACTTTTTCAATGCTGAAAGCTAGCTATAGTGCTAGCACGACAAGGTGCGACTTTCGCGAGATTGACATAAAGCGCGAGATCTCTATGCGAGAATAGCATTATTTCGCGCTTTAAGTCGCTCTCGCGCTAGTCGCGCCCTATTGCGCTGGCCCTGCTGGTGATTGTTCTAGCTAAATATGAATCGATGTTTAGATGAAAAGTGGTGCACAATAATACAAAGATCAAAATTATTACTGCTCATGAATAGTTTAATAATTATTTGCCTATATTTTGGAGCACGAGCAATTTACTGTAATGATATGTTAAACTATGCAATGTCCTATTTAAACTATGCTGTATTTTGATACCATGTATTTTGGTGTTTTTAATTTATTATAATGAATTTGTTCATTTTTTAAATTCGGATTCATAACTTTGCCTATTTTTTTCAAGGTTTTGAGTACACATTCACTCAATTCTAGCAACTGTCGTCACAGTAAAAAAATAAAATATCAAAATGAATAAAATTAACGCAGAAAGACATCTGAAAATGGACATTTCGTTTTATTTTCATGTAGAGATAACGTCGTCAATGAATAAAATTAACGCAGAAAGACATCTGAAAATGGACATTTCGTTTTTTTTTTCATGTAGAGATAACGTCGTCTTCTATATTGTCCATGTTGAGGCAAAGCCGTCGTCATATCGATTTAATTTATCGAGGGTCGTGACCAGACAGAAAAAAAAGTTAATATAAAGTCAACGTCGACTACATAGTTAAATGAAGATATTCCGGCTCCAGTCAGATGTAATCTGGGTTTTGTGTGCAATTCAATATTGATGACGATGATTGCGACAATCGTGTAAGCGTGTTGTATATAGACCACCGCCCTACGCATCTTTAACGGTTCACATGATTTTGTATTTAACTAAATTAGTACACTTACTGGATTCATCCAAGCGGTGTAGTAAACGAAATTCGTTGCTTTCCAAGGTGGGCACGCGTTCAAAGTATTCACCGATTATTTCGACGGACAGCTTTGCGAAAGCGGCGCTGCTGCTGCGGTGCGCCAGAGTTACCAATGTTAAATTGTGGCGCACTCGCTGCACCGCCGAAGTTGTATACCGCTCCTGGTTGTTGGGGTGGTAGCTCCTACAAAACGTATAAATTATGACTAAACGCACAAATATTAATTACAAAAATATATAAAAGTACATCAGATTACTTTTAACTGTAATTACTAATTTCTCGTGAACTTCACACTCTTTATTAAACAAATAAATAGCATTTTATTTTTTTGAGTTTGGTTTGTTTTTCACACTGACTGTAAACATGTTATGTGTAAATAGTGGTGGTAACCCGTGGGATCACGGTTGCTTCGCAAGTCGACATTCAACTTCTTGTGATGTGTTCTAATTTTAAAAAGTGCTAAAAATCACTTACATGTACGCATCATGTACGTAACATTCGTGAGTGTTTGGTAGTAATATTTCCCGTTAACAGTGAAGGAAAACATCACGACGAAACCTGCATGTTGAAGAAAATTCACAACTCTTGGTAACGTAAATCTCCCAACTCGCATTGGACAGGCGAGGCGCATTATGGCCTAAACATGACCTCAACTTAGCGCAGACCCGTACTCAGATGGGTCGTATAATGTGTCGATGATGATGATGATATACAAATATACTTACTTGTCCAAAGCCAAAGACTGTTGTTTGTTGCGGCGGCGAACCAAAAGTAAAAGCGGGAGCCGGTCCCGCAGTCAACGATGGTGTCTCGAATGACGGGATGGACCGGTTCGGTGTACCAAATGTAGGCGTAGCGCCCACGTTTGGCGCAGGCGTGCCGAACATGCCCACTGCTGACGAGGGATTGGCAGCCGGTGTAGGCGTCCCGAACACAGCTGCGGGCTGTCTCTGCGGGGAGCTCGTGAACAACGACGATGAATTAGTTGTATTTTGATTTGGCAGGCCGAATACAGGCGCTGGCTGTGCATTGTTTCCAAATGTTGGTGGGTTGCTAGCGCCAAACGCAGGTGTCGTAGATCCAAACGTAAATGTAGCCGCCGGTTTCTGTGGCGTAGTAGCCGTGTTAGAAACGAACAGGTTGGTATTGTTATTGTTACTTGTGGACCACACATTTTCTTTTTGTACCGCCGGTGAAGTGCCGAATATGCCACCACTCCCAGCCTGTAATCCGCTTCCACCTGACAATAGATTGCTAGGCACTTCGCTTGCCCCAAGTGGGTTCGTAGTTATATTATTACCTGAAGGCATAATATTGCCACCCAATGGACTGCTCATTGATAATCCGTTACCACTTCCCAGAGGATTAGCCGGGGGAAGCCCGTTACCCCCGCCCATAGTTGTGTGTGTCAAACCATTGTTAGTTCCCGCTCCAATTTCAAGAGTAAATTTATTTTCACTTGACGCGTTGAACGCTGGTTTGAACGGGGAGGGTGTCTCAGTTTTATTATTGTTCCCAAATGACACAAAGAAAGGCTTCTCCTGTTGAGATCCCGTCTGAATATTGTTTCCAAAGCTGAATAATGGTGTTGTATTACCAAAGGCCGACGGCGTGGTAGTGGTTACTGTTGTAGGATTTTGGAAAAGTGAACCTACATTACTAGAAGAGTTAGTATTCAAGAATAAAGATGTGGCCGTTGTCGTAACAGTGGGTTCAGCAGCTTGCTGGAACAAGGAAGTAGTAGCAGTTGTAGGAGCAGTCTTCAATGGATTCGTAAAAGACATGGTAGAATTTGATGCGGTGTACGGCGGAGGTTGCAATGGGTTCGCAAACGGAATGCTCGTACTAGTTGTAGCTGCAGGCGCTGCAAACGTACTTAAACCTGGTTTTACTGACAACGTAAATGCCGGTTTGGGTGTTGTCTCGCTCATGTCCGCCGCAGGTTGAAACGTTAACAGACTGGATGTCGTCTCATTTTTCTCCACTGCTTTTGATGAGCTCAACAAAGAGGGTGATACTGTAAATTGTTTGTCTTCAGTTTGCTTATTAAGTGGTGATGAAAATAGACTAGGAACAGGTTTTAAACGTTCTTGTTGATCAGGCACAGAAAAAATAATTTTTGGCACTTCTTGTGGTTTCTCTTCATCTTCACTCACACGTTTAGAAGCAGATTCTGGCATCCTATTTGAGTTCCCGAAAATGGAAACGGCAGAAGGTGCAGCAGGTGGCGTTGATTTAGGTACACAAAATGAAAAATTCAATTTTGGTGAGTCATCTCTCATATCACCTTCTTTTTTAGAAGGATCGTCTGACTTTTGAGTCGGTAATCCAAATGTAAAAGTAGGTGCCTTAGGTAAAACGTTGTTGTTAGTTTCAGATTCCTGAAGTGTCTTGTTAAAATCTACAATTGCCTTAACCTCTGCTGGTTTTGCAGCTACTTGCGTTTGAGAGCTGATACCAAATTTAAAAGCTGGGACTACTCCAAAAGTAAAAGATTTCATTTCTGGCTCTTTTGTTGCTTCAGTGCCTGGCTTTTCATAATCGCAACATATACATCTGGTTTTATCGCTTTCATTTCTAACTAAACAGCCAGGGCATTCCCATTTGTCAGACTGTTTTGCAATCAGAACTTTAAAAGTATTATCAGGTGGTTTGGTTGGGGAGCTAAAAAAGCCCATTACAGCCGCCGAAGCAGTTGGTTCTCCACCGGGTTTAGGCGATCCGCACGCTGCGCAATTGCTGTCAGAATCTTTGTTTTTAATCCAGCACTCATCACATTTCCACTGGCTGCTAGTATTGTTATCAGCTGAATTAACTTTAGCACTCGATTTTTTTAGATTCGATGCGCCACTATACACACATTCATCTGTACTTTCTTCATTAGTAACCCAGTTGTCCTTACAATCCCATTTGGAAGAATCTGGCTGTTTCACACTCAATGGTTTCTCTATGTTATTCATAGTATTACTATTATTGATTTCATTTTTATTTGATTCACTGTCAGTAAGCTTGTAATCATTGGATTTAGTGTGGTCATTGTATGTAGAGGGCTTCTCTGCACCGCAACTAATACATTCATCAATAACTGTTTTATTGAAATCCCAACAGTCAACGCATTGCCAATCTATCGAGTTGGAAGTCGTCAATTTGTTTTCGATTTCCGTAGGAGAACCAATGACACACGAAGACTGATCTTTCTTTTCATTGATTTTTACTTTCTCTACACTGCGCTCTGGGCTACCAAACGTAAACTTAGGAGGCGTCGTTGGAGACTGAGCCTGCTCGTTGGGTAACCTAACTGGGCTCGAAAACTTGAAAGGATTGACTTTGGGCAATTGAGATTCCGATTTACGCGAGAGACTGTCCGAAATCGGAGATTTTGGTTGTGGTTCGGCAATTTTAATTAAAGGTTGACTTACATTAAATGTAGGTTTTGCAGGCGTACTGCAAATTGGTTTTGATGCTGGTTTCTCGAACAAAAATTTAGGCAAGTTACTTTGATCAATTTGTAAAACTGCTTCAGGTAATTTGACTGGCGTCAGTAAATTTGTTTCTAAATCACAACTATTCCCACGCGTGACTCTTGATAGCTTAGTCTTGACTTTTGTCGTAAACTTGTGGTTGACATCCCTGTAATACAAATACAAGATATTAATTTTAAGCTGATTATTATAAATATGAAATCAACATGTGACAGTTGGTCAATTTACGTGTTCTTGTTGTGCGAAGGATTGGGCGTGTAGTCGTGCATGGTACTGCTGTGAGAAGCAATGATTTGGCGCGCAGCATTCGTCGTGTCCATCAGCCGCGAACGTTGTTTCACTCGCAAGATCGACGCTATGCTCGGCACAAGTAATTCTTGCGTTTTGTAAGCTGCAATAGATTAACATAGTTCTACTACAAACAAGTATAATAAGTAGGTAATAAATCTTGTTGTACCGCACTGTATCAAAATTTGTTTCCTTGAAGCCAACTAGGACAAGTACATATTTGCCTGATTCATATATACACTATGGTCTATATGATGGTATATTATCCAAAACTCCTCCATGAGCTTCAAGCTATGTCCCAACAGTAGCCTGTTGGGACATATCTTGAAGCTGCACAGTTTCATCTCTGTAAATCCTGTTACTACTTACATAAAACTTTAGGAACGTTGGGATTTGAGGATGAATTTGCATCCCAGCTATTGTTCTTAGTCGTTGACACGACTGGTATCCTTTTTGCTTCACTAAGGGGCGATGAATAATGTTCTAGAAGGTCCATAATACGTCTGGTCGTATTACTGATTGTGTTGTCTGTGTTGCTGGACTCTTTCACTGTTGCATTTCTCCTTTCTTTGACATTAGGGCGATTAATATATGAAGTTGCCGCTCCTCCATACGTCGTTCGCCCGGAATAGAATGGAGAACCAAGGAGACTTGGCTTGAAGTATGGCTGACTTGGATCTCTAATTGCGTTACATGCTGTCTTTGCTGTGAAAATAGGTACATATTAATAAGTACATATTTGACTTCTCTATTGTTAAATAGGCAGTTTATATATACTACACCAAAATGTATATAAAAAATATATGGTCCTTACCACAAGCTTTTTTGGAAGCTTCGCTGTTAGCAGAAGAGGAGTCAAATAAAGATTTGCGTTTAGTGGCTACAGTGCGGCCTACAGCGGAAACACAATGCTGTGACTTGTATGCACTGTCTTGGTCACTTCTATCTTGTAAGGCCTCGTCATTGGGCGGTCGATAGGGTGTAGAAGTGTAGTTAGTCTCCCGTGTAAATGTAGTTCGCCCTGTCAGTGATGGGACCATGAGGTGGTAAGGGCCACATGAATCGAGCGTGTCCATACTTCGACTTGCGCAATTAGCCTGAAATAAATATCAACATTATAATTGCTGTTTAACCTAAGGATTTTGCATGTATTTCTATTCCCAGATTGTATTTCCTTGTGCATCCTTAACTCGAATAAACTATACTCCCAGATACAATACAAGTACAAAAATATTATTATCATCGAAGAAAATTATCCTCAGTTTCAAAAATTCCCATTTTTCAACACGGACATTACCTATTTCTGCCGCCAAGAAGTAATGTCAGCATTACTGTGTTCCGGTTTTGAAGGGTAAGGTTGCTGGTGAAATTACAGCCACATGGGACTTGTCAACTTATGTCTCAGAGTGATGGGCGCAGTGGTAGTGCCCCTCAGATCTTTGCAATTTAAAGCTCTCAGTGGCACTGTAATTGTTATAGACAGGCGTGTAGCTTACCACCAGGCGCACGACTTCTTCGTCTCGTCACTTGATGTTATAAAAACTATATAACTTATATTATTATGCCTGGCATATAATATTCATATAATATATGCCTGCATAATAATATAAGTTTCAATACCCCAAATGAATAAAATAGTAAACATGAAAAATAGGATCAAATTATAAATGGAAATAATCATTTATGACTTTTGGGCAATTGAGGTATTGCATTATTGTTCATTTCAAAATAATATTTCTAATTGACCACTGTTGCAGACTAATGAATAAAATTTAATATATTGTCGTTATTAATAAGAGCGATTAACAATGTTTATACTTAATGGATTTAAAAATTGAAGTGTGACAGACTACTTAGCGGAAAATATACGGATCTAAAAGAAAAAAAACGTAACAAATATAACAATAAAATAAATAAATTATTACATTTTTCTAATATCATATCTGTACTTGAGACACGTTGAAGAACAGAAACTTTCAAAGTAACTCATGACGCAAGACTTAGTTTCTAACAAAACCAGAACCATGTCTTTTCTTAGCCACTATATTACGTAAGTAGGTCATATAAAGCAAGTTGAAATAAAAGAACAAACTCGAGGAGTGAGCATAAACTTACGTCTGTAGGTCCGTAATATGTGAATTTGTTTGGTGAGCTATATCGCATGGTTTTAGCTGGGGGCTGTAAAGCGATGGGGCTCTCTGGTGCCTCGTCTTCTGACGAAGAGTCGGTGGCGTCGCCTGTTTGCGCCGACCCATTGGTATTTGAGGAACTCGGACTGCTAAACCACTTCGTTATTGTCGCAGGAAGCAGTCCTGACACCCTCGACGTTACATTCTTCACAAATGACTGAAAATTTAACATTTTTATTTTTTAATTTAACGAAACTACCATAAAACCACAAGTACTTATTCTAGAGCATAGACATAAGACAAAGGTCCGACAAATAAAATAAGTTTTTAGTTCATTTCGTAGCAAAATGGAGTGCTGAACCAATTTGGTTCAGTCAAGGGTCACACAGCTCTTTAGGACGTTTCATTGGCCTCTCTGGTGTTATTTAGGAGCTTATGTTTCTTTTTCGCAAAATACTTTCTAGCACCACACGCAAAATAGGCGCCTTGTCGTCGAGTTGCGGGTACCAGCCCGTTGCACCAAGTACCAAGTAATTTATAGCAGTGTTCCTCCGCAATACTTTCTCATAACATTCACGACAACTCATGTTTAAAAAAGGGTCTCCTCGAAGAAGACGATGTACCACGCCGGCTTGCCAGAATATTGCGGGATGAGAGACGTAACGCGTCTATGAAGAGTTTCGATATAATCGCAAATTAATAGAAATATCCGCTAAAGCTATATATAACACAAAAAATTAGAGAAAAGTGTTTTGAAACTGAATGTTCTTTTAATAAAATTCATTCATTCATTTACAGATTATTTTATTCTTTCTTTTCTAGATTATCATATACTGAAGTCTTTTTAATAATACAATACGGGCAAAATCGCAACTCTTAAAACATTTCGCTTAGCAATACACATGATATTATAAATCTTAAAGGTCAAGATGACAAAGAAGAATTATGCCTTACATCTTCGAAAATAACAGTCTGTTCGATTTTAAAAATATATCCAAATTGGTTTACAAAGGCAAAACATACAAAATGTAAAAACAAACATATAAACACAACATTCGCTTAATTGACAACAAAAACATATTGAATTTATTTAAACAGAAACCTTAATTACATGCAATATAAATTACATTTCTGCGAAATTCACATATGCTTCTAACAACTACAATATCCACATGTTAAGTGGAATATCAGTCAACAGCTTTTACGTCATGGCGACGCAAAAGACACTTAAGTGATCGGGCTTCGTATACGGGTACTCTAGACGACTGAGTCTCAAAGCTTAGTAAAATATGGGATAAGTAAATCCCTATTCAATATTCCAATTCAATTTTGATGTTACTTCAATTTGTAGTGATTGATGATGTATTGTATAGCGTAATAAATAAGCAATCATATATAAACAATACGAACGCATGAGAAACTAACAGAACCGACGTCTCAAAAAAGCAAAACAAAAACTAATAAAATGTATTAGTAAGCCAAATTCACCAGCTTTAAAATATCAGCCAAAATTTAAAACTGTACCTAATTAAACTTATGTCATTAAAATGTGGTTTGAAATCCTAGCCTTTTAATTAATATAATAAAGAGCAGGTGAGGGTGGACCACAAATATGTCTGTGACCACAACAATAAATACAACTACATAGGTAATTCTTACAAAATGTCAAAATTCTTGTCCTTTAGGTTTATAAAAAAAAGTTTTTGATTCTTGCCGTAAAATTAATATTTAATAGCAAATTACATTTCAATTGCTACTGATGCCTACATAAAATATTGATTATTCTATTTAAATAAAAATAATAATAATACAAAAAGTCCCCATAATCATTCCCTCACTATGTTCCAAGTTCCATAACAAAACACGTTATGTGCTACAAATCAACACATTTAACAAAAATAACCTTTAAATTTTAAACATTCGATCAAATAAAATATGTTTTTGCGAAATTAAAGCTATCCTGTGGTAAAAACACGAGAAATAAATATAAAAAAATGTACATTATTCATGTCCCAACCAAAAAAAACATTCCCTCACATTTTTACCTTCACTCCATTTGTGAGCGCATTTTTAATTTTTGGAAAATGTTGTTTTTATGTAAACTTAGCAGCACTATAAACGTTTCCAAATGACGAAATTCAAATTGTGTGTGGAAAAAGTTTGTACGAAAATATTTAATTTAAAATTCTAAAAGTTATATTTTTGACAGTCATTCCCACACATCATGTAAAAAGAAGTTAAGCATTTGATTTTAATTATTAATTATACATTTAAATGAGTTACTGGTAATAAGTCGAAAAGTAAGTTGATATCGCTATTTTTTCATGGTGTATTTTGATACCGTCACTCCCTCACACTCAAATGAATTTTTTGAAAGTCATTTATTTTGGGGACGACTATATCACCAAAGACTGTTTACATAAGTACTACGAAATTTACAAAAAATAAAGACAAATTCTTCCTAGAAATTTTCATATATATCGAAAGCACGAATCTCGGAATTTCATAAGAACTGCCCAACTAAACAAACAGGAAAAAATCTTATTGAAAAATGTAATTCTTTTTATTTAAAATTGCAATTTAAAAAGCGACAGTTTGATGAGCTTTATGCGTGGCTGAGTGTATTAGCACATCGCTTTAAGGTTCGATAAACAAGACAATATCGAATACATTTAATAACCTTAACTATTGTTTTATATGAGGATGTCGAAATTAACACGCACTGACGTAACGCACCCCTCATGGAAGAATGGCATAATTGGAGTTACGTTAAAAATGTTTATTGCTCCTAATGGAGCAAAAAATTATCCCCTCATCCTTTCCAATTCTTGTAACTTTCTGTACAATATTAGTCAATAGAGTTGCAAGAATTGGAGAGGACGTGGGTTATATTTTTCTGTATCTGATGGAGCAATAAACATTTTTGACGTAACTCCACTTATGCCATTCTTCCATAAAGTGACATTGTCACTAACGATAATATCCTTCTTGAGTACCCTTTAAGGTCAGTACCACAGATATGTATCTAAAGAGACACCGCAAGTACCGCGCTCTGTATGAAAACCAAGCGTGCCACAATTGTCGTACCTCTGATTGACGTCACAAGCGCTATTTAGTAATGGAAAACCTCCTTCAGCATTAAAATTATTATATCGAAGACGCGGACGCAACATGTATGTAGTTAGAATAATGAATTTTGAAGTATTTGTTGATTATAAGAAACCGTAAAATATTAATATTGTAAAATAATACCAGAATAAGATAATTAGGCAAGTCCTTTATTAATACGTGTTTTAAAAAAAAGTTGCTCCGGAAAACTACTACAACTTTAGACATATTTTTATAACATTTTCCAAGGACTTAAGTATTATCATCCGAATAGGTACATATCAAGTAGGTACACTTGCGGCGTCTATTCAGATACATGTGTGTGGTCAGTACACATGATCGTTTCTATATTGTCGCCTTCGATAAGGCTAGAAAGAAACCTGTCATAAACAGAAATGACGTCACTGTTGATTACATGCCGTCTTTGGTTAATGTGTTTCGAAGGACTTTCAAGTCATATAATAAACTCCCTCAGTGGCCGAACGGTTGTCACGCTGGGCTGTCACGAAGATTTCCCGTTCGATTCCCGGGCCGGGCGAAATATTTTTATGGCCTACAATTTATTTGTCTCGTGAGTTTGAGCGTAATTTGTGGTTGTCTATGTGTGTGTCCATGGCACCCGCGATACAGGGTCTTCCTAGTGCTATAAGTGTGTGCGTTAATATTATTATTATGATAAACGTACTTTGTACTTGGAAACTTGTCGAGAAATCTGTGTAAATAAAGTTTGTTTTGTGGTCATTTTTTAGAATGTATCAGGATTCGTAGCCCAAATTGCAAATACAAAGAAAAGTTGGTGTTTTAAAAGTTGTTACGCTAAGTCTTATTTTCTCTGCTCGGCAGGTCAGCTTTAGCACGCAACCGTGATGGGGTGATGAAATATGCCAGTCGTGACATAAGCAAATATTCCTTATATTTGGGAATTCTAGTTATTTGCCAAATTACGGTCTAACAACTTGACCACTTGTCGGATAAGAAAGAAACAGTTGTAGGAACACCGAAATAAAATGAACTGAATAATCGTCGTCTCTGTCGTCGTCGTCTGAATAAGTCGTCTGCGTAGCGCATTATTCTGATCGAGCTAACACATTATACACAGATACAATGCCGAGTCTGCGACAATGGGAAGTATGACATATGAAAATATTACAATATAAATAAAAATACTTCAAATCTGTTTGACTTTTCATTTATTAGCAATATTTAAACGAGATAAGTGTATTACTTAGTATACTATCTAGTATAAATCAGATGCCTCTGTGGCCGAACGGTTACCATGCTGGAGTGCCACGCAGAGGTTGCGATTCCCGGGCTGGGAGATATTTTTTTATAGCCTACGTTTATTTCTCTCGAGTTTGGGTGTAATTTGTGGTTGTCCATGTCCATGGCAGCCGCGATACAGGGTCTCCTTGGTCTCCCTGGTCACGGGACAATGAGTGTTAAAAAATAATATTATTATTGATATAAAGATCGAACAAACTCAAAGAAAAATTCCTTCGACCCAACTGTACTCGAACCTCACTATAGCTACATTGAGGCAAGATTCTGGTTCGAGACCATTTTGTTCGATTTTTGTATCAGTAATAATAACAAAGTAGTGGAGAATTTTAACAAAAAGTACTTTTTCAATAAAAATATTAAAAATATTAGCTGTTACAATTCCTTGACTGGCTGACTGGACATTTTTCCAGATTAAACCATTAAACGTCTCAACTGATTGAATTTTGAAAAAATATCTTCCGAAGGCAATGCGTTCTAATAGACGGAATTCAAGCTTTCATTCATTCGTCATCAACCCATTTTATACGTCTCACATCTGGGCACTCCCGCAAGGGTCTCATCTCAGGCGAGAGTTTAGGCCATAGTCCGCCACGCTGCACTATCGGAAATTTAAGTCAGTTACAGACCAAAAATCTGTAATTTTTTTGTTTTTCGAGATACGCCTTTTAATTATTTTTTTTGTACACAGTGGGAATTACGACTGTTGTAAGCGCGTAATAAATTTTTGCTTAACTACCCGTAATTGAGAGAAAAAAAATGTGCAAAATCTTAAATCTCTCTCTGTTAAATACTATTCAATACTTATTTAAAAACAAAATAGAATTACCG